CAAAAATTATCTAATCGTCCCTAACCGACTGGGCTGATTGAGCATAATTTATGCTGATCGGCCAGGCCGATATTTATATCGGCCTGGATGATAAAGTCTGTAAGTTACATTAATGAGCTCATTTTGAGATCTTCTATTTAAGCTTTTGACTAGGCACTTTTATAAGTGTCTTTGGCATCCATTGTAGCTTCATTCTTTTGATTGGAACTTAAAGAGAGAGCTTGAAAGGGACTGAGGAACATGTGAACTCTGAGAGAGGGGGAAGATCCTATGAGGGGGGACTCAAGGGAGTATGGAGGGGGATTCCACATGGTTGCTCCGGCTGGCTTGCACCTCATACCATCGGATTCAAGGCTTGTCTTGAGGGAAGTTCATCAAAGAATAAGATCTCTTTGGTGTCAAAGGACACGACGACTCCGCCGCACCGGGGAAGGTGGAAGTGATTTTGTAAGGGCTTCTCCGCCTAGCTCTTGGGGAGTAAAGGAGAGACACTTAGTTTAGTGCAATACTTGGAGGGTGCCTCCAAGGAGTGGACATAGGTCAAGGTTTGACCGAACCACTATAAATCTGGTGTTTTCTTTTTTTTATTACTTTCGTATTTAATTTCTGCACTTTGGTTTTCATTGTGGTGAATCTTGATCTTTGTTTTAAGATTGTGTTTTAAATATTGATTCACCTCTCTCTTTTAATTAGCCTTAGGCCGGTTCATAGGCTTAACATCCCTAATGAACTTTCTAGTGTCATCAGAACACTTTCAAGTGGTATCAGAGTGGGATTCATAAAAACAAGTTTTTGAAAACTTTTGAATTTTGATCCATGGCTAATTTTTCTAATCATAATATTGTGGAAGGTTATTTAATCACTAGACCACATTTATTTAAAAATATTACTTTTGATCTTTGAAAAATTCACATGTCTACTTTCTTGTAATCAATTGATTTTCGTATGTGGCATATGATTTTAACTGGTTATTCATTATCGTCACGAGTTTTAGATGAAGTTAAAACTAATATTCCTTTTAATCAATGAAATAGGGAAGAACAAATCAATGTTCAATTGAATGCAAAATCTTTAAATTATTATTTTTTGCTTTAAATTCTGAAGATTTTATGTTAGTATCCACATGCACTACTGGTAAGGAAATTTGGGATAAACTACACACCATATACGAAGGCACTACTGAAATCAAGCAATCCAAGTTGAATATGTTAATGCATGATTATGAAATATTTTTCATGAAATTCTATGAAATGATCTAAGACATGTATACTAGGTTTATTCAAATTGTGACATCATTGCATGCTTTAGGTAAATAATTTTTAAGTTTTAAAAAAGTTAATAAAATTCTTCGTTGTTTACTAAATAAGTTTGATGTGAAAGTTGTTACCATTTGTGAATCAAAAAATTTGAATGAATATTCTATTGATAATTTGATTGGCTCATTCATTGCCTACGAGCAATATTTTGGTCAAAAACTTTTGGATGTAGGTGAAACGATAGTGCTAAAAGCTGAAGATACGAAAAAAGGTAGCTTAGTTGGTAACGAAAGTAATGACTTGACAAGCAAATCAAAAAGCTCACCAAAGCCTAATCATCAACAAAGGTGGAATAAAGGTAAAAATGGTAAGAATGTTAATATTTCTTCTGACGTTATTTGCTTTGGATGCTGGAAGCCTGGACATATGAAAAATCAGTGTCCTAATTTGAAAATTCTTCCTGCAAAAGAAAAGGGTAAATCAAATTAAATTATAAATTAGGGAAATAATGAAAAGTAAAAAATATCTTAGGCAGATCTTGTTTCTAAATCATCTGATCAGGAGCAAGATGATGCTTAAATTATTTTGTGTGTACTTTTTATGTTTGTATGTTTTGTTTTTTTTGTGATTATTTATTTATTTATTATTTTTCCTTTCTTTTTGTTTTTTGTTAAATTTTTTATGTGTTTTCTCTTATCAACACACACGTTCACCTTTCTAAAAATGAAAAACCTACCTCCTGTTTTTTTTTAATTCTTATGAAAATTGAGTTTGACTTCTCTAAAAACAGTCAAAGAATGGAAACTCATGTTTTTGACTCTCAATCTCTGTTTCCTAAAAAAGGGTATTCCTAATTTTTTTTATATTTTAAATTAGTTTTTGAAACTAAAAATTTTTATCTCCTTACATTTTATATATCGTATATGGATCTTTTGTAAGTTGTTGAATCTAACTCATAATTTTCTTACTCAAGAAATTTGCTTTATCAATAGGATGAGTTTATTTTATTTTTAAGATTTCAGAAAGGTAGCTTATTAAAAAAAAATTAGCTAATGATGGCAAAAATAAAAGATGCTCAATGATTCCAAATTGAGAAAGATACACAAAGTGTATAAAAAAAGATGCATAGTGCGCCAACTAATTGTCAAGAGGTATAAAATGAGCCCACAACATTTAATGCTTATCATTCTTGTACTTCTTAAAGCTTAAGAAAACCCTTGATACTTTCGATACTTGAGTTTGAAAATCTTGATTCATGATTCAACAATTCATGCATTAATCTTCTATTAGATATATTTTTTGAAGAAGTTTTGAAAAATGACAGTTTCTTTCTCTAATTTATTCCTTGATTCAGATATTGAATTAAAAAGTTTTTGAGCCTTTTAAAGAACTTGAGTTTTGATTATCAAATTCTAAATTTTTAACCTTTTCTGGGCTATGCGTTGTCAATACAATTCTACTAAGTTTTTTATTACAACCAAGAGGTAACTTTTTCATTTTAAGAATATTTATTTTGTTCACTTTATTAGGGTTCATTTTTTATCTTTAATCATTTTGTTCTTATTGTTTGTGCACATTCTCTTTTTGATAATGTCAAATGGGGAGAACTTATTATTGAATTTGTATCCTTTTTCTAGTATTTTTTTTCAAAAAAAATTAAAGACAACAAATTTTTTTTTATCTCCCTTATTTTTAAAATGTTTTATTATAGTGAGAGGAGATTAGGAGAAAATATTTTTTTCTTTATAAATTCAAACAGAAATGTTTGTCATCATCAAAAAGGGAGATATTGTTGCATATCTGTTTCATAATTTATGATTTTGATGATAGCAAACACTCTTATTTCTCTACGACTGCCTTATTTAATGACATTTCAGGTCCACAAGATCAGACTTCTATTGGAACCAGCTCAAGATTGGGTAGATTAGATCTGAGTCAATTTGTACCTTTTTCCTTTCTTGAGTCTTTTGTAATTGTTGTGGCTCCTGATGCTAAGTAACTTTGCACACACATACCTTGGAAGAATTTTTGACAGTTCCATAGAGTTTATTATTTTTGATAACATCGTCCGGAATGATATTTATATCAGCCTAGACGATCGGTTCAAAAATAGAAACCCTAATTAAGGCATTATCCTTATTAAGGCAGCCGTCATTAAACACATCATCCTGGACAATTTTGTATCAGTTTGGATGATAGGCTCAAATCAAAAAGAATCTAACACCAAGATCTATTTAGGAATTACTTATTTTTGGATATCATCCTGGTGGATCGGCCTGGTCTATCAGGATCGGCCCGGCCGATTCAGCACAATTTTTCTTAAATAAATCTAACAATTAAGGAAAGTAATTAATGATGATTTGCACGATCACATTGTCCGGGCCGATCGCAGGATCGTCTGGGCCGATTTGACTTCGGCTAGCTTCTTTTCAGGGCGATGTTCAGGATAATTTTTCTCATATTTAAACTAATTGTCCAGGATGATATCCTATCGGCCTGGACGATATGACCAAAAATTATTTAATCATCCCTAACCGACAGGGCTGATTGAGCATAATTTATGCTAATCAGCAAGGCCGATATTTATATCAGCCTGGATGATAAAGTCGGTAAGTTGCAATAATGAGCTAGTTTTGAGATCTTCTATTTAAGCTTTTGGCTAGACACTTTTGTAAGTGTCTTTGACAGCCATTGTAGCTTTGTTCTTTTGGGGGGAACTTGAAGAGAGAGGTTGAAAGGGAGTGAGGAACAGGTGAAGTCTGAGAGAGGGAGAAGATCCTATGAGGGGGGACTCAAAGGAGTGTGGAGGGGATTCCACACGGTTGCTCCGGCAGGCTTGCACCTTAATACCATTGAATTCAAGGCTTGTCTTGAGGGAAGTTTACCAAAGAAGAATATCTCTTTGGTGTCAAAGGACCCAACGACTCCGTCGCACTGGGGAAGGTGGAAGTGATTTTGTAAGGGCTTCTCCGCCTAGCTGTGGGGGCTAAAGGATAGACACTTAGTTTAGTGCAATACTTGGACGGCTCCTCTAAGGAGTGGAGGTAGGTCAAGGTTTGACCGAACCACTATAAATCTGGTGTGTTCTTTCCTTTATTACTTCTGCATTTAATTTTCGCACTTTGGTTTTCATTGTGGTGAATCTTGATCTTTGTTTTAAGATTGTGTTTTAAATATCGATTCACCTCTCTCTTTTAATTAGCCTTGGGCCGGTTCATAGGGCTTAACATCCCTAATGAACTTTTTAGTGCCATCAGAATACTTTCATCTTGGTCCTCAAGTTCTATAGGAATTTTGTGGTACCCTATGTATGCATCCAGTAAAATAATAAAAAGAGTGTCCTTCCATCTTATCAAACCTTTGGTTAAGAAATGGCAAGGGAAAATAATATTTCTTAGTACTTTATTCAACTTTTATAGCCTATACAAATTCTCCAACCAGTGATAGTTCTAGTGGGAATGAGCTTATTATGTTCATTAGATACTACAGTCAAACTACCTTTTTTTTTTTTTTTTTTGAGAAGATGCATAATGCAATATTATTAAAAGCAAATCAAAAGAAACCACCTAAACATGGTTGAGATTATCATATTCATCCTTCACCAATTTAAAGAATGAAGGAGGAACATTATTGATAATCAAGTTATTCCAAGTATAATCACCCAACTTAGCATAGTTAGCACAAAAATCGGCTAACTTATTACATTCTCTCTTAACAAATTGAAAAATGACTTGATTGAAACTTCTAAGAAAGAAAATCAAGTAAATTAGGATGATTACTTACAGATGGACCATTTTTTAAAATGTCTTGGATATGCTTCATAACATTATAGTTATCTCCTTCTATGATGATGCCTTTTGCTTTGTACATACACTCTTGAGTAAACTTCTTGATAGACAATAAAGCTTCCAATTTAAGAGATGAAATATCCCAGTGTAAAGTTTTGATCCCAAAGGCAAATAGAAATCTACCTTTGCAGTCTCTAATTACTCCACCAATTCCAGCAGAATAATTATTATTAAGAGCAGCATCCACATTCAGTTTGATCCATTTAGTTGGAGGAGGTTTCCAAGTGTTTTGAAACAGCAATTGCTGATTAGAAACCCAGTTGACTGAATTGAGATCCTGGCTAAATGATAAAGAAGCAAAACTAACTGCATTCCCTGCAATGGAAGATATACTGTCCTCTTCCAAGCCGTGCACCCTCTTGTTTGTACTCTTCCAAGAGAAAAAGACTGCAAAACAATAGATATTGGCTATAAAAGGATTGCTGGTAGAAGCTTTAGAAAGCCAATTGAAGCAATTATCTAGATTGTTTAGATCCGGGATATCATAACCCCAATTATTCAATAAGATAATGATCTTATTCATGAATGAGCATTTAACAGTTAGATGATTTGCATCTTCAATATCTTCACATCCTCTTGGGCATCCGTTGAAATTAATAATCCTTCTATACATTAAAAAATCGTTGGTTGGAATTGCCTTGTGAATCAATTTCCACCAAAAGATATTGACTCTTGGTTTCAATTTTAATTTTTTAAGCCATCTCCAATTTGCATCTTCTTCCTCATAAAAGAAACTTTGTTCCGAAATCAAAGCAGCAATTGATTTCCCAGAGAATTTGTATATAATTTCCATTTCATCAACTTGATTTTCTTCGATCAAAGGAACCAAAGAAATTAATTATGTTAGCTCATTCCCGAAAGCCTCATGCAATCTGTTGATATTCCAATTTCCATCTTCAATAAAATACTTCAAGCATAATTGTTCTTATTTAAGATTTGATACAAATGTAGGCCATTTATCTAAATACTTATCAAGGATCCAAATATCCTTTGTAGTATTTATGAGATCACAATTAAAGATCTTCCATATAGTAATTTGTTGAAGATTTTTGCCTCCAGAATTAATGATTTTCCAAGTTGGTGAACTTCCAACTCTTGTTTCTAAAAAACAGAAATATTTTCCATATTTTGCAATCAAGACTCTACTCAGAAGAGATGATGGCTTGGAAATCAAATTCCAAGCAAATTTAGCTCTCCAAGAATTCATTCTATCAGCTGCTGAAATAATACCTTGCCCTCCAAATTTAATATGCTTACAAAGAATTTTCCATTCCACATAATGAATTCCTTTGCTCTTGTTCTGTTTCATCTAGAGAAACTCCCTGCAAAGCTTATCAAGTTCTCTCAATACACCCATTGGCACAAGAGAGTGAGTAGAAACAAAAATTGGAATGGATAAAAGAGCTGTTTTGATTAACTGAATTTTTCCAACTAATGTAAGAGATAAATTACCCCAAATATTGAGTTTATCAAATGCTTTTTCCATAGCATCTCTGTAGTTAGATGCTGTAAGTCTTCTCATAGCCATTTTGATGCCAAGATAGCTCATTTCTTCAACAACTTTGAATCCAAATAGTTTTGACAGATTTCTTGATTTGCTCTTATGAACAGCTTTATCGAAAATCAGAGAAGATTTCTGATTATTCACCTTCTACCCAGTCCATTTACTGTAATCTTTCAATATCTTCTTGATTTTAATAACATTTCTCCTGTTGGCTTCAGAAAAAATTATGATGTCATCAGCATATTGAAGATGTGATATTTTCTCTACATTCCGATTCAATTTAATACCAATTTTAGCTCCATCTCTATTGAAAGCTTCAGTATGGATTTGAGAGCACATGATGAACAAAAGAGGGGATAGAGGGCATCCCTGTCTAAAGCCACACTCCGCTTGAATCCATTTAGAATTCCTGCCATTCACATAAATATAATATTTTGTGTCCACCACACATTGGGTTAATAGATTAGCAAAAGATAATGGAAAACCATAAAGCTCCAAAACTTTCTTCAAAGTGTTCCAACCCATGCTATCATAAGCTTGTTCCATATCTACTTTAACTGCCATCAAGCCTTTCTTATCTTTAGAAATTCTAAATTTATGAAAAATTTCTTGTGTGAGCAATATATTTTCTGAAATGGATCTTCCTTTGATGAAAGCTACTTGATTATCAGAAATAATCTTTCGAATAATATTGATGATCCTATTCAATAACATCCTTGCCACTATCTTATAAATAGAATTACATAGACTAATTGGTCTATAATTAGAAGGAGTTAAAGGATTTTTGATTTTAGGAATAAGAACCACAATGGTCTCTCTCCATTCATCACACATTAAACCAGATTTAAAGAAAAGGCTAACAGCTTTCCAAACATCAACTTTGATAATATGCCAATAGACTTTAAAAAAAGAATATGAAAGACCATCCATACCAGGTGCAATATTGCTCTCCAAGTGAGAAATGACATTATCCAATTCTTCCTCAGAAAAGTCTTCCATTAACTATTCCTTGTCATATTCATCAACGACTTTGGAGAAATTAGGCCAACCAGTAAAAGAGCAATTTCTAAATTTCCATTTCTCATGGAAATAATTAGACAGGATGTCTTCAATGCAGCTTTGATCTTCTATAAGAATTCCATCTGTATTCTTCATTTGTTTGATGAGATTGCTGTTATGCCTAACTGAAGCAACCGAATGAAAATACTTAGAATTTGAATCACTTTCTTTGTACCATTCGACTTTGGCTCTTTGTTTCCACCAAGAGCTTAATCTCCCCAATGTAGAGTTCAATTCCTCGATTTTGAATCTCAATAAAGAGATTTTGTCATATGAAATATTACATGAATTGGCATCCTCTTCTTGTAAAGAAATAATATCATTCTTCAAATTGTCTTTCAAGGTGTCAAGATTAGAGTGCTTGTCTTTACTCCAAAAAAAGAGAGCTTTAAGGACTCTTTTGAATTTGCGATTCAATTTCTGGACATCATCTCCACCAGATGGTTTATTCCAGGAATTTAAAACAATTCCTTTGGATGCTGGGTACGAGATCCACACTTCTTCAAACTTCAGTCTCTTGTTCTTCTTAAATTCCGTCCACAAATGCTGATGGCAATTGGGCAGTGTCTGATGAGATTCTTCCAAGATGTCAAACTGTTTCCACTTGAATTATATTTAAAGCTGCTGAATTCAATAGACATCGGTCTAATCTCTCAAGGATGCGAGCACCTCCTTTTTTATTGTTACACCAAGTAAATTTGGGACCTATAATCCTAATGTCATGGAAGTCACATTTCTTCATAAACATTTGCATATCTTGAGGGCCTTGAGAAAATACAAATCTCTTTTCACCTCTTTTTTTCTTCTTGTGAGAGGATGCAATTAAAGTCACCTCCAATAATGCATGGGATGTTAGAATTGGTAAATTTTTGGAGGTCTTCCCATAGTAGTCTTCTTTTATAAACTTCTTTACTTCCATAAGTGGTGGCAATAAGCCATTCACTTCCATTAAGCATCTTCAATAACCCAATAACTACTTGGCAAGAAAAATGGATTACTTTGAAACAACAAATGTTGGATTTCCAACATATAAGGATTCCTCCAGACAATCCTTCAGCTGGGACATTAAAAAAATCCCAATTGCTACCAATAAAATTGTTGATTTCCTTCCTGTCAAAAGATTGAACTTTGGTTTCAACCAGTCCAACAAAAAAACATCAAGATCCTTGATGAATTCCCTTAGATATCGAGAGGCTTCAACCTTCCTAGCCCCTCTACAATTCCAAAATAATAGAGACGTCATTTTGATTTAAAAATGGGATTACTCCCATTTTTAATCTTCTTATTAGCTTCTCCTTTCCTTTTTTGAGATAAAATGTTGTCTCTTCCCAGAGAATTAAGCTCTTTGATAAGTTTACCTTTACTTCTTGAAGCTTCTTCCATCTTGTCTTCATTTGGAGAAACTTTAACAATTTCCCCTTCTTCAATATCCACTTCTTCATTCACTTTGGAATATTCTGTTTCGTGAATAAGATCTCCCAGTAAACAGAATTTGTTCTGATCTTCATTAGGCTTGGGATTAATAGTAGAGATTTGATTTGCCATATCCTTACTGCTGATAACATATGGAAATACTCCATATAAAAAAGAATATGTGTTTGAATTATTATCATTATTGAATACAGGAACAATTTCTTCATTCACTGTCTTCACAACAACAGGGCCCAATTTAGCTTCTATATTAACATTAGAAACAATGTTTGAATCATTGCCAGCATCTTCTGTAACAGGACCCGAATCAGTTTCTTTATTAGCAGCAGTAGCAATAGAAAAAAGATAGCCAGCTTCTTCAGTAACAGAGTTTAAAGGTGGCTTAGAGAATGTTTTCTGAACAAAAACATTTTTAGTTTTTCTGAAAAAAGGATTATCTTTGCTGATGTTTGGCATCCTCCTTCTCTTTGAATTTTGAACTAGAATCCATGGCCCATAATCTTTATTAAAAACTTCTTCTTGTTGAGATTGATTGGAAGAATTCTGAGCTTCCTTTTCCACAATTTTAACTGGATTAGATAAATTTGAAAACATCCCTCTTTACAATTGGCTTCTAGATGACCAATTTTTCCACAATTGAAGCAAAAATTGGACACCCTTTCATATTCTACCTTTTGAAAGAAGCGTCCAAAGGATCCTTCTATCCACACTCCCTTAGGAAATTATTGATCCAGTTGCATACGAACGCAGATTCTAGCATACTCCCTTTTGCTCCATTGGAACATATTGCCAACAATCCGCAATGGAACTCCGATCTTGCTGGATATTCTAGTAACATTTTCTTCATCCCAACAAATCAATGGTAGATGAGGAAATCTAACCCATATAGGGGATGATAGACCTTTTAAGGAGGTAGGAGAAAATAAAGGGGACCATTTGTCTATTCCCACTATATGGTCATTCACATACCATGGACCACCTTCCAAAACTTTATCAACAGCTGTTTTATCAAAAAAGGAACATAAAGTCCATCCAAGCCCAAGAGAAGTTATATGAAACTTCCCAAATTGGCTCCATTGTCGACGAAGCTCCTTAGCAACTTCAAAGACCGGATAATTTCCTCCAAATACCTTTACTACCATAGACAATTGTAATTTGTCTGCATTGATTTTTAAACAATATTCATTCAACATAACTGCTTAACCATCTTCTGATAAGAAAGAATCATTATCTTTGATTGAAACTTTGATATTCGGTTTCCTGTACCAGGTATTAACAGGAACAGTGAGGCCTTTGTCTACCTCAGCATTATTACAAATATTTGATGAGCTTTCCATCAACTTCTGAGAAAAAGTGATTCCTTTCTCAACTAAATTTGACTTGAATGCAGGATTATTGAATTTATTCACAAACAACTTCAGACCAGATGATGACGATACCCCATTGTCTGTTAAATCCTTCTTGAAACCAATTGGAGATTTGAATTCCTTCACAGGAGATTGAATTAAAATTCATTTACCTTTTCCAAGAACAATCGAAGATTTCTTTAGCTTTACTTTTGAAAGCTCATTAATTTTAAGAATACCAGATCTTTGCTTTCTGGACAAATCATTTTCACGAACAGGAACGTGATTGTTGTCGCCAAGAGGAATCTGGCGATCGGCGGCGAACGCCGCGTCGATCCCCATCAACGGAAAGAAAACCGCAACAAAATGCGGATCGTTAAAATTTGAATTTTAAGAAGAAAACTTTTCAGAATCCGAGACCTACTCTCACTACTTTCTCTCACTACCACTTTGATGTCCCTTGAGTCAAACTACCCTTTTTAGGGACATAATGAATAGGACTAATCTAAGCACTATAAAAAAAAGGATAATTGATCCATGCATCTAACCATTTAAGTATTTTCTTTTTAATAACTTTTTTCATTGATGGATTTAATCTTCTTAGAGGGCCAACTTTCAGTGAGAAATTTTTATTTATAAGAATTCTATACATACATAGAGATGGGCTTCTTATTTTAATGTTAAATATAGTCCATCCAAAACCTTTTTTATAACATATAAAACCCTAATCAACTTGCCTTATTGATCTTTTCTAAACCAACAAAAAATAATAACAAACAAAGTTGAATTACAACCCTAAATGATTTACATAAGGTAGTTAGGAAGGGCTTTTAGCTCTAAAATAGAAACTGTTGGAACTCGTTCAATAAGAATTAGGATGTTAAGCCTAATTAAATATCCCAAGGCTAACCAAGAGGGGGGTGAATTGGTAATTAAAAATTTTAATCCTCTTTGAAAATTTAATGGAAACAAAATGTTAGTTTGTGAATTTTTCTAGAAAACTTTTTCAACCACAAAGTTTTAAACACAAAAAGTAAATAAGCAGCGAAAAATAAATGACACCAGATTTATAGTGGTTCGGTCAAAACCAGACCTACATCTACTCCCCACTGAGTATTGCACTAATACGAATAGTGACTCTCCTTTAGCACCCACAGCAAGGCGGAGAATCCTTTACAAACTCTTTTCACCACTACCCGGTGTGGCAGAGAACCGTTCGTCCTTTCACACTCCCCCGATGTCGGCAGAGAACCGTTTGTCCTTTCACACTATTCCCAGTGTTGGAAGAGTACCGTCATCATTTCACACCCTCCAAGTATAGGCAGAGAACCCTTCATCCTTTCACACTCTCCTAGTGTGGGCAGAGAACCCTTCGTCCTTTCACACTCTCCTAGTGTGGGCAGAGAACCCTCGGTTGTTCACACTTTTCAAGTATCGGCAGAGAATCGGATCTTCTTCCAAGATATTCTTCACAAGTCCAATCTAAAAGAAAAGAAAGAAGACTGAAGTAATTCAAACTTGAAAGTGGAAACACTTATCCTTAAGTACCAAGTGAAACCTTCACGCTCCAATGGCAAGAAATCTCCTTCAATTGCTCTCTCACACTCTCTCCTTGACTCTCTTCTCAATAGGCATGAAGATTAATGACCAAAAAGATTAATTTGTAGTTTAGAATAGCCTATTTATAGAAGAGATAAGAAAACCCATCTAAAAACGGCAGATTTCAAGTTATCATGTTCAAAATCGTCCCGTACGATCGAAAATCATCCCGGACGATTTTACTTAAAAGCCTTAAAATGAACCTATTTGTACATGTGTACGAAATGATTTCGTACAAGCTGATCGTCCCGTACGAACCAAGTTCGTCAGGTACGAACGGTTATAACCAGGTTGGTTCCAAAAACTGCAGAACGAATATAGAAAAACTGTCCTAAGTCGGTTATATCGTCTGGACAAAAAAAGATTTGTCTGGACAAAATTCTTACAGAGAGAAAATTGTCCTGAACGATAATTAATTTTGTTTGGACGAAATTCTTATAGTGAGCAAATCGTCCCTGACGATATTTAATTTCGTCCCGGACGAATAGGACTTAGAAAATTTTTTTAGCCAGTTCCTATTCGTTCCATGTAATCTTAATAGGAGATAACTATCTGATCGTCCTGTACGAACTTATATCGTCCCGTACGATCATTATAAAATTTATATGATCTCCTTATGTGTGTTTGTATGTTTTTATTCACTCAATTACAATCACTCCCTCTCAATTAAAATGACATTTTTAAACTTCAAAATTCAAAAGAATTTCTTGCTGAATTTGATTTGAAGTCTTCATGTTTGAGAGTTTGATTCACCTGAAATGTTAGTACACACAAGAGCAAATACAAAACTTCTAAAAATTGTTAGGAGATAACTACACAAAGAACAATAATATTTGGAATCATCAAAACTATACAAGTTGCAAGAATGTAAAACATGCAAATAGCAACTATCATTAACAATCTCCCCCTTTTTGATAATGGCAAAACATTTATTGTTTGTAGGATTTCAAATTTTAATAATCTCCTAAACTCCCCCTGAATTGATGAATACATAAAATAAAGGAGACATTTTGAACTAAAGATCACAATTTTTGTTTTTCAAAATTTTTATAACAACAAACAAAACAAAACAAAAATTATAAGATTAATAACACAAAAATACAAGAACACAAAACAAATAAAATAAAAATACAAAACAAAAATACAAACAAACAATTTCTCCCCCTTTTTGACAGCAACAAAAAGTGAAGAAGAAATAGACAAGAAATGTATGTAATCATATGAAATTCATTTTCTAATTTAATCTTGAAAGTGATTGATATAAGGTATGCAAATAAAATTAAAAACATTAGGTAAATCATAGAAATTCATAGAATTTAAGAAGTGATATAACATTTTAACTAAGAAGAATTTATCAAAGACATGATTCAATTTAAACATTGAGATAAAGAAAATCATTGCAAGAAAGATGTATTAAAAATTATATATTTCAAATTTCAATAAAAATATGAATGAACATAAGATTAATTTGAATTAAGAGATTAAAAGAATCTGGAAAGAAGAAAACTACCACATGTGACATTTTGCGCATCTTTTTCAAATTTATGGCACATTTTTGTGCATCTTTTTACATTGGGCTTATTTTGTGCCTCTTTTTCACATTTGCAAACTTTTGCGCATTCCTTTTGATTTTTTTTGTACATTTGTACAATTTTCAAGAGTAATTGAATTCTTTCCAAAGACAATAATCTAAAATTTCAAACTTTTCTAAGTGCAAATATATAATTTGAAAAATGAAATACAAAATAAGAAAACAAGATTGCAATAATAATATTAAATATAATGTAGTCTAAATGAAAAAAACATGAAATTAAAAATTCTAATTAAAATAAGTTATAAATATAATTTAAATTTAGAAAGACTAGATTTTCTAATGAAATTAATCTCAATTTACAAACTAATTTTAGGCACAATTAAGATTAAAAAGACTAATGAAATTCATAAATTTTAAACACATTTCAAAAACAATTCAAATCTAAAGAAAATACAATAAATATTGATATTAATAAAAAGATTATAATATCAATTCATAATATCAATACTAATACAAAAGGAAAATACATTGAACTTTCAAACAAACACAACTAAAATGAAGATTGATACATGAAACATCTAGAAAATCAAAACCCAAATTTCTATTCTTTTGGAGGAGGAGGAGGAGGAACACCACCAAAGAAGTTGAAGTAGGAATTCATCAACATAGCATTGATATTAATTTCATGAACTTCATTCCTTATATTACCAATGTCCTGTTGCTGCTGCTGAAGTTGAGCATCAATTTGATCAAATCGTTGATCAAAATGAGTCTCAAGTCTATCAAATATCTCAATAAAATTCTAATAATTTGGTTGAGGTGCAGATGTTTGTGCTCCTTCTATTTCTTCTTCAGAATCACTGACATGTGATTTCCCTTTGTCCTCCCAAATCGCTCTAAAAGAAGCATCGTTGTAGTAGAGCGGCTCTTCATACTCTTCATCAGGATGCACTAGATTGTATTTCTTTTCCAAAATAAAGATAACTAAGTGACCTAATGCAATTTTTCTTTTTCTTTTCTGATCAGCATGCCAAATTTCGAAAAGCCCATAAAGATAGTCTAAGATAAGTTGGGCTTCATCAATAGGTTTATTTTCCATAATAAAAAATGTCACAATAGAAAGGAGTGGAGTAATGTTGATTATATCACCAGCTTTTGGAATAATAGAAGATCTAAGAATGTGCTGGATGATTCGAGCATTTTTGGTCAGTCCAGAAACTCTAGCAATATGATCATTTAGGCTATTTCCTCTAATCACCCTATTGATTTCAAACCACTTGAAGGTGTTATTGTTCATAAGGGTGTGGGCTCTAAAACCTTCAGTTCTTAAGTTGAGAAAAGCACCTAAGTCATGCTTTGTGATTTCAACCTTTTGTTTAAAAACAAAAGAACTGACAGAAGAGTGGTCGGAGTTGAAACTCATATTTGCTAGGAAGTAAAGGAAGGTCTGTTTATTGTAGAGGTGGATAAGAGTTAGGATAAATTCAAACTGAGTGGAAGCGAAAAGATGCATTACCTTGAAGTTTATCTCACTCTGGATCAGAATGTGAGATGGAGTGATTTTTGCAGAGGCAAATCGAGGAAAGGATTCCTCATTTGCTTTTGAAAGAAAGTTTTCGGAAGGATTCCTATGGGGTTTCTTCGCTAAAATCTTTTGACGCTTGCTAGAGGAGGCCATTGTTGATCTAGAAATCGAAAGGGATTGAAAGAGATGTTTGGAAGTGTGATTGTTGAGTTAGAAAGCCATCTTATTTAAAGAAAACGATACGTTCGTCCTGTACGAAAAAGGTTCATCTCGGACGAAAATTATCATTCGTCTGGACGAAAAACTTTCGTACAGACGATTGAATTTGTCCAAAATGAAACTGCTTTTCGTAATCAACACAACTTACAATACATCCTTTTGAACAGACTTTTGACTTGACCGATCGTACAGACGATCACATGTTCGTCCAGATGATCACACTTGTGATCATTTTAATGGAAGTTTTAAAACCATCCCCTACAATGAACCGCCATGTTTTTGTCCAGAGGAACTCTAGGTTCGTACATACGAAGTTCATTAAAAACTACCTTATCCACTCAATCATTTTCTTATTTTTCTGCACAGTTACTTAAAAATTTCGTATTGGATGATCTGAGGATCGTACAGACGAACTTAAAAAACTAAAAAATTTGCACGAATCATTTTTAAAATCTGACAGTTTCA